TAGAATTCCCCAGCCAGCATGGCTGGCTGGGGAATTCTAGGAGTTGAACTCCACACCTCTTAAAGTTCTCAAGGTTGAGAAACCCTGTGTTATTGTAATGACGGAAGCTATTCCTCAGGCTTATCATTAGTTAATGGGCTTCTTGATTAGCAAGCTAATTAAACTGATCAGTGCTTGTCCTGGGAACAATACAAGGAAGGGCCACCGGGAACACACAGAGTTTCTTCCTCTTGGCAGTGCAGCCATGTTCCAAGCTGCGTCTGGTGGAAGTCTTTTTCAGCGGTGTCCACGTGGCCAAGTTTGCCCTTGCTGTGCTTTTCGACTGCCTGGAGGTCATTCAACTCTCAAAGGTTATGGAGCATCTCCCGAGTTGAAACTGTCAGTCACTGATTCCTGCATAGGCCTTGCTGGGACATTAAGGTCATTTCTGGAGCCAGGGGAATCTGTGTGAGGGTCAAAAAAGTCAAGATGGAGGCTGTGCCTGGGCATCACAAGCCACGTAAAAAAGGAAGGGGCTTAAACCCTCCCAGTTATGTTCTCCCTCTTGACTTTTCTGACCCCTCCTGTAGACAGCCTGTTCAAAGACGTTCTTCCAGATGTTCCCTCCTTCCAAAAACTTCTCTTTATTAACTATGCTTACTGACGCCGGGGTGTCTTCAGGTGGACTCGAAAAATTGACCTTCCCAATGTTTTTATTTGCTTTTTAAAAACTTTTCTTAGATCTGTCTTAAATGGATGCAAAATGCAAACGCTTTTGCACTCTCTGTCTATCTGTCTCTACCATGATAATATTTTGTGAATGTTTTTCCCCTGTTTGTGGCTATCATCTGTCTATCTGTCATCGTCCTATTTTGTGAGAGGTTTTCTTCCCTGGATAGCTTCATCTATTGATTATAAACTCTTCTGGGGTGTGGAACCCCATGATTTAGGGAGGAGAGGCTAGAGCTGTATTTATTCTAAATTATATGGCATCTGGCGCTTTTTAGTTTGGAGCAAAGGGAGGTTCAGGGAGCCGAGAGGTATGTAAAATCGTACGTGATATGGAAAAAGCGGGCAGCAGAAAAAACGGTGGTGTTGCCTTCTTTCTATCACGGTCGCAACGTCAGAAGCAGAATCATCCATTAAATCAAGGTGGGGGGCACAGGGAAGAAAAAAGGAAATACCTTTTTTCTTAAACCACACTCAGAGTGTGGAATTCATGGCCTCCGATTTCGAGAATTTTAAAAAGGGACCGGAGGTGAAAAGTTTAAAGAGCAAATACTGAAGCAGTTGATGGAGGTGGTGGAAGCAAAATCGATTGGCAAGAATTTGCAAAGGTATGGAGCAGGATTGCGGACGGCGCTGCTTTAAATTAGATGTAGCTATATTTCCATTTCTTTTATCTCCTGCCCTTCATGCCTTTTGGTTCTCACGACTCACACTTTTTCCCAAGTGTTGTATAAAGCTCCTTAGCCTGAAGGGGCATTGTGTGATGGGGGTGTGAGAATGCATGTATGGAAAAAGGGACTGGACGTGTTTTTGGAGCCTGGAACTCCCAGCTTGGAGGAGCATTGAACTCACCAGCTTCAGAGGACCAGAGGACCAGCATCTCCCTACAGTTGAGAAGTTCCCTATGTGTCAGTCCTTCCAAGAAACCGACTCCACAAGAAGACTAGAATGATCCTTTATTGCAGTATTTCTCAACCTTGGCAGCTTTGAGCTGTGTGGACTTCAACTCCCACAATTCCCCACCCAGCATGGCTG